TTCAGTATCATGGAATCACACTAAAATTTATCGTGGGATAAATCATCCAAAAAGGTTTATATTTCATTAAGGAATTCACTGGATGGTCCAAAAATTGCCTATCAACTTTCTTGCAGAGCACAATAAAGGTGTTTGCTAAAGCAAAAAAATACTTTCACTGCCTTGGTGACTCGTTCTCTGGCATATAATATCTGTCACGTTAGCTGCATCTGTTGAGTTACTCTTACAGAAATCATCACACTTGTGCCTTTTCTATATATTTATAATCTATAGCACCTGTATGGCACTCAGGAAAGTGGGACCATTCTACCCTTGATCCAAATATCACATTGTCTATATACTCTACATATACTCCAAGGGTGGCATACAGAAGCTGAACATCATTCCTATCAGGTGTCCAGCTTCTAGCAAGCTTGGTGTGTATTTCCTTAAACCAAAACTGATAGAATACCTGAGAAAATACTAAAGTATAGTATTTATCAAAAAAGGGCCTGAATTGTAAGTCAGGATTATCACATACGATAAGGAACATCATCCAGTGCCAGACTGAATATTTCCAGACGGGTCTTCTCAGAGTCTTCCTTGCAAGGGACACACCTTAGAAAAGGGTTCCTTGTGGGCTTCCACCTTTTCCATATGTAATTATGTTCCTGTGCTTGTTTATAATCATCTAASGTAATCCCCATCTCAATTCCAGAAATGATTATATAAAAAAATTAATATTAGAAGTAATGACTAAGCAGCTTCTTCCAGTGTGGATATTAAAAGCCAGATTCATGACTGTAAACCTGCTCTGGGGTAAGGGACGTAAGGGAGAGCTTCCCCAGGCTGCAGGTGGAGCCAGGCCAGCCTGGGAAGGATCTTCTGTGTTTCAGCTCTCTACCAAAGTACTTTAGCTCTTTGGGCAGCCTGCAGCATGTTAATTGGCTTCTAATGTTCTTCCATACTAAAGCTTTTGGGGACTCGTCCAACAAAATAATAATAATGCTTAATAATAAAAGAGGTATGTTTTATTGGGATCCATCTCTTTACAGAATAGAAGGTCCGTGAAAAGCTGCATATCAGGCAAGAGAATAAATAGAACTGTGGCTGCAGAGGAGTACCCCCACCTTCAGAACACCTTCTCTTCTCTTGTAGATGCGCACCATTCCAAAAGTGCTTTGAAAAGACAGAACAGCATCTTAGAATATTTGATTTCCTGATTTGCTCTTTATGAACACCTGCATATTGGGGTCACTGCTGCCTCAGGATGCAACACAAGCTATTGATAGGGCTGGGAATCACAGCAGTCACTGAACAACCTGGACTGAATCACTGAACACTGAACCAATTGCTGGACTTCTCCATTTCTGTTTCGCTTCCTTCCTGCTGTCCATTGCATCCATTTGCAGTGAAAGCCGGCTGTAGCAGTGCCTGTCTTTCAATGTATTAATATAGCAGCTTTCCAAATAACATACTAAACTTTTTTTTTGTCTGTCTCCCCACTTAGGGCTTTCATGAGGCCAGTGAGACATGTAAACCCTGACCCTTTTAACTTAAATTCGTCTCTTTTTCTGAACTGTCCTTCAAAGAACTGAGAGAGACCTGGTTCCCTTGGATAAAGGATGAGGAGTCCATGTGCCAGAGTTTGTGCTGGGAGCACTTACACTTTGAACCCTGAACCATGCATCTCCAAGCCTTATTTAGCACTTTCTATTAGGAAGAAAGGAACAATGCAAACCCAACTCCTCAAAGAAGTATAGACTATTCTGATTTGTAAACATACTTAGGGGAAGCTTTTGAAACTAACAGGCAATGGACATGCATAGAACCATATTACCAATTCTACATTACTTCTTTCCAGGAAAATACAGCATGTATGCTTCCCAGAAGTCTAGTAACAGCAYGCAGCTGAAGTTATTTGGTGATTTTTTGTTGTACATGGGAGTGAAAAAAACCAACAAAAAAGTCCACCATAATCCATAATGAAAGTTTTGCACAAGAAAATTCAGTGTCTAAGAGGATGAGGATATTTTTTCTTTTTATCATAAGTTGAGGGAATGGAGAATTACAGAGCAGCTGCTGTGTAAAAGGGGACATTTATTCCATAGCTGTGGTGAGATCACAATCAGTTTTACCTCACTGTCTCATCAGTGGCACAACGTATGAAACCTTGTGGAAATAATGGTAAATTCAGATATTCTGGGGRAAAAAAACAGTGTAAGTCAGTGCCAGACTTTGGCACATACAGTACYGAAGTCTGTACATCAACTCATGCTTGAGGACAGCTACTCTCTTATTTCTACTGTTCTGTTACCTTCCTCCAAAATATGCCATCTGCTTTATCCAACTGACCCTTTTATTGCTAGAGTGTCAAAAGGTATGAAGACWCATACAAAAGCATTTCCGTAAACCTGTAATTATTTTAACACAGTAGATCATGAGGCTCATATGACTCGAAACACTTTAATGAGCATTACTAAATCCATAAGCTTCTTTCCTCCTAACTGTCTTGTGAACAGCTCTTCATTCAGACAAATGCTYTAGCAGCTAGAAAGAGCAGTGAGAGGGAGTTATTAGGAAGAGTAATGGAGTTGTTTGATTTTTTTCCCTCCTGCATGAATTATAACCTCTGAGAGAGAAATATCATAACATTAATGAAGAGATGGAGAGTACCACCATCACCACAAAGAGTAAAGAAGAATAGATCCTCCATTATTGGTACACACCCCATCCTACTAAAAAGCATATTTTACCAAGATGAAGGTTATATCTYAAACAGGTGAATAAGGACTTGATACATAAAGAGCTGGGTAAAACTTTACAACCTTCATTATAGAGGAGACTGGTTACAACAATCTCTCTTGAAATTAATTCAGGACACCTATAAAAGCTGCAAGAGAAATCACACAAAACAAGGTTGTGTGTACTACCTGCTGCCCTAGCAGGTGGGACAAGGTGACAAGAACCTATGGAAACATACAGCTGAAAAGAATATCTTCTAAAAGTCCGGTTTGGCAGCTCTGTTGCCAAAATCGTTTTAGAAGTGGTGGTGATGTGTCTTTGTGTTCGCAAGGAGTTGGACAGTGGCATTCTGAATTGGCTTGGTTTTAGGAAGTGAGGGCATAAGGGAGCCAGAAGGGAAATATCAAGGGAGAAAGGATCCAATTACTTTTTGTCCATCCACTAACTTYCGACTAGAGCAGGATGAAAATTTTAACTCAATAACTCTTCCACCAAAGACTTCAAGACAGTGACTTGTGCTAAGCCAAGTTCTGGCTCCTAATCTGCTGCAGTTTACTGGTC